TCTTCCGGGACATTTAAAAGGGGACGGAGGGAGTATATACTAGCTACTAGCTAGTGCATTCTTTGTTTTTTATTTCGAGACCAAACTTTTGTGTTTTTTGGAAGTAACTTCATAACTGTTGTTCTTTTATCATTGGCATCTTGCCTCATCATATGTGGGATTGTAGAATTTTCTAGTAATGTTTAGGAAAAGTAATTTATTAAAAACCTCATGTTATTTTTAAAAACCTCAGGTTGGACCATGGTTACTAAAGTTCAAGTTCTTATGAAGTAAAATATTAAAAACTTGCTGGAAGAGTAGAATACATTCTTGTGAAGACTAGTTACTTCTTTGTTATGTATTTGTGTTTGCTTTGCTAGTTTGGAACACCTCTTTTCATTTTTAGCTAAACTTTTGGTTTAAGGAGTATTACACAGAAGATAGCAGATTACTTGATTCTTCTTTCATTATTATTTTTCTTAGTTTATTTTGAATTGACATCAATTGCAGCTCTTTATTTCAAAGAATAATCTACAAATTTAAGATGATGCAGTCTTCTACTCAATTTTCATTCGTAGTTTATTTTGAACTGGCATCGATTTTCATTTGTCTTCTACTCACCCAACTCTGACCTTTAACTTGGCAGCCTAATTTTTTTAATGTTTTACAGCTGCAACTACCTATGACTATTAAGAAACATTCTAGTAGTCAAAGATCAGTAGCTGTTAGAGATTTTGGAGTGAAACTCCAACTTTGTTTTTGTATGAGAAGTTCATGTTGTTTTCAGTGAAGTGAAACTCCAACTTTGTTTTTGTATGTGCAGGCCATGTTGTTTCCAGTGAAGTGAAACATCAACTTTGTTTTTGTATGAGCAGTTCATGTTGTTTTTTCAGTACATAACAATTTAATTCTCAATTAGATGTGTGTGGGTGTGACGGCTGACACGTATTACTTTTTGTAGCATTATTCATGCAATCATGCTTTGTCATTTTACAATGTCATAATCCTATATTTCTTTTTCTTCTTTGTCATCTTTTTGTTTTTGAATTTTCCAAGGATACTACAATGAATGTATGGTTCTGCAACTGTGTGTATGTGGGAATTGTTTACTGTATTAAATATGCAAAATTGTGAGTGGAGATGTGGAGAGCTCACCTGCGGCTGCTTTGAGTTGGAATCAAAGTGATGGAACTCTTTTTTTCAGATTTTATTTTTGAAAAAGAAAGCCAAAAAACAGTACGTTGCTAGATATATACGGTGCTTCGGTTTCTTTAGTTATATGATGACGTGGCGTAGGAATAGGGCACACATCGTTTAAACCCACGGCACCATTGAAGTGTAAAAATAATTTTAAAAATGTATGGGTCCAAATCAGCTTCACGGGCTGTCTATCCATGTGACGTGTCCACTTTTTATAAGATACAATGCACGTTCCCATTAAAGATGCTCTAAAAACACTCTAGTGAAGCGATTCTCACCCTGGGGCATAGCCGTTGGGGCTTTCCGATTTCCGCTCTCGGGTAACCTCTGAGGTGCGGCCTCTTTTATTTGAAGCTTTGTTTTTTCGGTTCGAGCAGGGATTTGGCCATCGCAGGTTTCCTTGGAAACGAAGTACGAAGGTCGATCGAAGGAGAAAGATAGCGGCAGCGGGCAGTTTCGAAAACAGCAACTTTGATCAATAGATGGAAGATGTGTTTTTTGATGAAGAAGAAGATGCTGAGGAAGCTGTCAAAAGCTCGGCCGAATTTCCAGTGGTAGGTGTTGACTGATAGAAAGATTAAATTCCAATTTTTCAAAGACTTGATGGCATCATTGTGGAGACTTGTTAAGGGAGTTTCAATTCAAGAGATCGGCGAAAAAGGTACCTATTCACTTTTTATCATATTCTGGATATGCGGTGTGTTCTTGACGATGGTCCGTGGTCGTTTGAACATGATTTACTATCTCTATAAGAGATTAAGGCTGAGGATATTCCTAGCAAGGTTAAGCTCTATGAGGCTGATTTCTGGGTGCAAGTACATGATGCTGTGTATGGTTTTATGAATCTGGGTTCTGCCAGAAGAATTGGTAATTATATTGGAAATTTTATTAGCTTTGATGACAGGGAATCTAAATCTGATGAAAAGTTTAAGTCATACTTGAGAATTAGGGTCTGTATGGATGTTAGAAGACCTCTTAAAAAGGTACCACACTGAAGAAGGTAGGTTTTAGTCAATGGGTGAATTTTAAATATGAAAAACTCCCAAATTTCTGCTTTGTTTTAGTCAATTAGGCACTCTGACATATTTTGCCCGATAGTTTTTGAGGGGGAGAATATCACCTTTGATAAAAATTATGGGGTGGGATTGAGAGCGGGGACGGGGGTGCAGTCCAGTCCCACAGGAGGTTCTAAGTGGCTAATTGAAGGATCATCAAGTACTGAGTTGGGAATGTCTGAAGAACAGAAAGCTGATAAACAGGACTGGAAGGATGCTACAGGCACTGGAACTAGCTCCATAAGGGAAGGTAACTCTGTTAGTCCGGAGGAAGGCTCGGGGGATCCAAAGCGTAGAAAGTCCTGGGAAGTGGAGCAACAAGCTAAGGAGATGCTCCAAGGTCTACATAGTGATGGAATCTTAACAGGTCTTAACATGGTTGACTTGACAAGGTCTTAACATGGAACCTCGAGTCTTAACATGGTATCAGAGCCAATTCTGGTTGTGGTTTGACGGCTGGTTTAGCACCCATTATTTACAAGAATAAATAATCCGTAGTAGGGCGTTACACGTAAGGGTGTGCACAAATCGGTTCAAATTGGAAAACCGGACCAGACCAGACTAGAAAAACCGAAACCGAACTTATCTGGATGATATCCGTTCCGGTTTCCGATTTTCAAATATTGTAAATCCGATTTCTGGTCCGGTTCCGGCTAAAAACCGGATCGTTCCGGTTTGAACTGGATTAAACCATTTTTTTATATATATTTTTAATATATTATTTTATAGTATTAATATAAAATAGTTATAGAATAATAAAAATGATAATAGTTATAAAAAAATAAATAGTGATCTTTTTAATATGTAGTATATATGGTCCTAATGTTTTATTCATTTATTTATTCTTATTTTCTTGATAATAGAATTAACTTATATTTACTATTATACCCTCAAATTGCTTCAATTGCTCTATAAGACTAATAAAAGTAAATAATAAATAAAAATAATAATACTAATAGTAATATTATTAGTAACAAATACCCCATTTTATTAAATAAATTAGTTCTATTTTTTAGTATATAAAGATAATAATGTAGAAACCGGTTCTTCCGGTCCGGTTCCGGTTTTGAACCGGTAAAACCAGTTCGGTTCCGGACCAAAACCGGAATATATTCGGTCCATTTTTCGGTTTCTATTTTCTTGCAAATTCGGTTTCGGTTCTAGTCCAATTCGGTCCGGTTTTGAACTGGTGCACACCCCTAGTCAAACCTTGTGACTCACACGTCTATGCTTTAAGAATAGCAAAGTGTAGGAAAATGAAAATGGGTAAAAATACACAAGAACTTATGGAAAATGGTTGTGCAACTTTTGGTGGCATATGGATCGTCTTCAACAGAGCTACTATAACCACAACCATTAGGAGTGAGGACCTAAGCACACAAAATCATATATAAATCTATTCTTTTAACATTTTCAGAAAAGTAATTATGTGTTTTTTACCCCACCCTCCACCCAATTATAGCAAAAGAGAAATTAAAGGAAACTGAGGTCCAACATTAAAGCAATGCTTAAATGTCACTTTCACTCAAATTGTCAACTAACCATTATCATCTCAACTCAAAAATGGAACAGTACCTAAAAACCCAAACACACTTCGATAAAAGATGCTCCCGCCAGTATTGTATCCATACAGTTTAGTAATAAGGGAAAAACGTAACATACACTATGATGGAACCACATACATTTCACTTACATTAAACCATGTTACCAAATGTATATACTAACATCAACTAATAGCAGTGAATTTCCTGAATTATTTCATGGACGCCTTCACCTACAACACTCTTCATCCGGGTTGAGTTAATTTCATGGACGAGCCGTAAAATATGGCTTGCATTTAACACTTCACCTTTTTTATTTGTCAATTGTATTAATATTTTTACTTAGTTTAGTTAAAACTTTTATTCTCGTAAAAATACTAAGTTTGAATAGTTAGATCACGACGAATAGAAGCAACATGAAAATAAAAATTCTAAAAGTCAACAATCTATACTATTATCTCTGACATCACCACCTCTGCCGTAATGGTAATTGTAGTAGTAGTAATAGTAGGAGTAATACTGTTACCGCATGATTATAATAGGGGAAAAGGGTCATATAGACCATCGAACTTACATAAAAAGGTTAAATATGCCCTTATATAGAAGGCTCTGTCCGGCCGTCACCATTTGGGGCGGTTCCCGGTGGAATTGTTTGATAAAATTTTTTGAGCATCTTATTCATTAAGTCTAGTTTACTCATACCAAATTTCAGCTAAAACTTCAATCGGGAAGACATTCAAATGAATTCATTCTTGAAGATAACTGCGCAGTTAAAAGCATAGTTATCTTCATGAATTCATTTGAATGCCTTTCCGATTGAATTATTAGCTGAAATTTGGTATGAGTAAACTAGACTTAATGAATAAGATGTTCAAAAAATTCCATCAAAAAATTCCACCGGGAACTGCCCCAAATGGTGACGGCCGGACAGAGCCTCCTATATAAGGGCTTATTTGACCTTTTTCTGTAAGTTCGAGGGTCTATTTGACTTTTTTCCCTTATAATAGCCATCCTTGTTTCCATTTTTATTATTTTCTATCCTTAGAAAACTACTGTCTAGTTTAAAAAAAAAAATGAACTCTATATGTATATGAAAATTTAGTATTACATTTCTTTTTTGTAGTTTTCCAAAATGAAAAACTACATTTTGTTAAACATCTATTTGTAATCTCATTATATATTACGTAGTTTAAACTTTAAAGAGAAGAAATTAGTTTCAATATATGTTGAAGATCAATTCAGAATTTCAGATTTGCTACCTGGGCAACTGGGGTGTACATTTGTTGAAATTGTTACTAACCGGGAGATAGTAAGAAAGTGACATATTATTCAGGACAAGATTATGCTTACGAGCAGCAGAATGTATGTATTAGTGTATCTATGTATGTAGTATGATGACAATATAGCAATATATTGAGAATTTGGCAATCATATCAAGTAGCTCTTCCAATCTGCAGTATGCAAACTGGACTTGAGAAAGGAGGAAAGATTTTTGAGAGGCTCACACACTGCTTGGCTAGGAAGCACTATGAAGAGATTCAGCCCAAAGTGAGCTGAGATTGCGCAGTCGTTCAAGGTACTCCCCCATGGCAACAAGTGCCTGAGTTGCTTGGCGTGTTGTTAACAGCGAACATATCTTGTCTAACATTATTTTCCGAAAATGATCTCCCTATTTTTTTTAAGGAAAACCATCAGTGGTGTGCCACCAGACCAGAATGACGAGGGATCACCAAAGACAATGACAATGAAATTATTACCTGATCTACTAACCTGTATAAATACTCCAACTTCTCTATTGCAGAAGACATCTGCCAATCCTTGCCTCTTCGGCTTGCCAAAATGGAAACTCCAAGGAAATGGTTGTGTAATATCAATGCTTGCGTTAAACGATCTTCTACATCCCGATAAGTTCCACAAAGACTAGATATATCATGATGTTGTTCCTCTGTCAAAGCCTCAAGATGGGGCAATATGATCTGCATAAATTTAACAACAACAACAAGTCAACAACAAAAGAAGGAAACTCACATTACTTGGCTGCAGAAATGTGAGAAGCTGGAGTAACAAATTAATAATCCAATTTTGAGTAACTTCTTGTTTTATCTTTTTAATTGGGAAAAGCGAACTCAGTTCATTTGGTTGGATAAATGTACAATCAACAAGCAACAGCCAACAGGCACCTAGATGAATTCGAGAAGGAAAATGTACAAGGTCAATGAAAGAAGATGAAAAGGGAAAGTGGAAAAGAAATTAAAAGCTAATAAGAAGCTATCTAAAACTGATTAGTGAAGTAACAATGATAATATGAATGGAAATCTACGATTAACTCATAAAGAGAAACACATGTCACCTTCATGCCCAATGCCCAATTTGTCATTATTTCTTCTTTGAAGTAACTCTTTTGCTTATATGTGTGTACACACACACACGTACATATATGTGTGTGGGGTGCTTTTGGCGAAAACAAGGGACGTCTTGTTGGCAGATCTTCTCTTAGGGCTTCTCATTTTGGTCTGAAGGGTGGTGCTTCGATGCCGATTTTTCTTGAGTTTATATGCTCACTCTGATTTGTTTTGGTTGTTTTAACTCATATGCTTTTCTCCTTTCCCTAGAGCTAGTCGTTTCATTTTGCTTTAGCTTTGGGCTAGTACCCGTGATAATTAGTTTTTGTACTCTTCTTTTTCTAAGCAAAGTTTTTTCTTTAAAAAAATACATATATTTGTTGTGTGCATATATATATGCGTGTGTGTGTATGTCTATATCCTAAACTTTTTAAAAATTGCACACTAAGAGTAGCATGGATGATGAATATAGCGTGGTGTATGGATTACCCTTAGGATCAGTGACGGACGAAAACCTCCCATCCAAAAGAAAAGGCGCTCAACCGGCGTCTTCCACAAACCCGACATAACGTAGCAGGCATCTGCCTTCAGTGCAATTGCTTTTATGTTGAAAAGGTCAATATAGTGATTCCTGCAACTCTGAACATGAATTTGTAATTCTTCATCACCAACATTAGAATGTAGCAATGCATTTCTCAAGCCATTTGTGTATCTGGTTTGCTCTTCCACCCAGTTTCTATATGCCATCTCGAATGCAGTAATGCCTGCAGCAGATGGTTTAGCTAAGGAAGGAGGAATGATGAGATGTAATCCCTGTTGCAATGGCATTTATTAGGCTTATCTTGCATAGATGTAGTAAGCTGTATAAGTTAATGAGCTAATTTTGCATAAAACAAAGATTTCCAAGGGGGGGAAGATCATCACCCGTTGTTGTTTAATTTGTTTTAGCTCTTGCTCCAATTGAACAACTCTTCGATCAATGATCTCCAAGTGCTGAAGGTAAGCCTAGAAAACAAAGACAACAATGTCATTATAATCATGATGGTAGGCTCCTTAAAACAAATCAGATGTTCTTTAGGTTACTTAAGCCAAATTGCTCGTTAAAGGATAATAGGTTCTGATACGATATTAAGTGACTCAGGGTCTAACTAAAAGAAGTAGCTCAAGCTTTTATATGTGAGTTGTGTATGTATTTGTTGATCATCACAAGGGATCTAGAAAAGCAACACCCAACCATACCTTTTTCCGCATGCGATATCGGCGAGAATACTCACAGTGTTGTGTAAGGCGTCCGACTACCTGTTGATTTAAAAACAGGCAAAGAAAGAACGGGATTCCAAGATCTCTTATACGTGTTGAGGCTTTAAGCATTTGAAAATAACAAGGTTTGCGATATTTATCAGATAGAGTTTGTATCTCCTAAATGTGTTTGTTACTATGATCATTTATTCAATAAACTTATGTACTCTTCTTCTATTAAGTTGAGTTCCCTTAGCGGAAAACTGCACAACATATAAATATATGCATTTATATATCGACCTCTACGGACCTGGTTGTGCAGTGTTTTCTCAATTTCTAGTGGCAACTGGTTGTCTCCTTCACATTTCTGAGCCTCTAATGTCATGGTTGCTTCTGGCAAACTTGGGAAGCCCCTATTTCCATTGAAATCTCCTCCCCAGGTCCCTAGTTGATAGATTGGATCACATATGTCCACCCTTTCTGAGGCTATAGGCTGAGTATATGTAGACTTCATTTTCAGCAAACTGAAATCATTACAATCAGCTAAATCATTTTCACCATGCAAAAAAATTACAAAATAGATTTGCGAACTCAAAGACGTAAAATAGTTATTGAGGGACTTTTTAAAGCAAATGCGCATTCCCCTCTCTTTTTTGACAGAGGAAGAGCATCAATTCCCGAAATCACAAGATATTTATTCCCCTTTTGTAGTGTTCTTGATCAAATAGAGAGCTCATGGACTAAACTATTTTAGTCCTAGAGCACACAAACAAACCAAAAAAACAAATATCCAAATAAATTAAAAATGAATGCCAGAAAATGAAAATATCATCTTCATTTTTTAATTTGATCAATAAACAAAAAAGTTTATAAGCAAAAGTACCAATTATGTAAAAGCTTTTTACAGAACACCCCACCAAAGTAACATAAAAAGTTACCAAAAACCATCCCTACTATAAACACAAACAAAAAAGGACTAAGGATCTAAACTCATAGAATTATACTTCCTCCGTATTTAAAAGTTTGTTACACTTTCCTATTTGAGATGTATTTGAAAGTTCGCTAAACTTTCCCAATTTGATAAGTTTTTCCTTAAACATTCAATTACCCTAACTTTTTCAACTTTTTATCTTTCTCTTTCATACTTTTTCACCATATCCCCTACTATATATTACACCTACTATATATTATCCCTTAAACATGGTGTCAAGACCTAATGTGGTGATCTTTTAAATACAAAGGGAGTATGTAAAAGTACTTTTGTGCCCCAGCCCCAAAGAAAAGAAGAAGAAACAATAAAGGTACAACAACAAAAAACTCAAAATAATAATCATCTCATTAATACTTTCACTAAAAAATGACTACTAACCAGAATCTTAACTCAAACGTAAAGAGTACCACACACCCCATTTATATCATCATCACAAAGAATTCCCACCAAGTAATTCTAACACTGCTCCTGTGAGAACCAACAATAAAAACGAGGTGAAGAACGGATGATAACAGTGGAACCGGAGAACCGTACAAGGTGGACGCTGACCTCATTTAACCACCTAACCTTCATATTTCTTATGTAAAAATACAAAATACTTTATTGAAATGTTTGGTGCAATAGATTTTAAGAAAAAGTAGTAGAATAATGAATAGTGTAGAAAAAATAAAAAAAATATAAAAAATATCGTGAAAAGTATCAAAGAGAAGATAAACGGAAAGTAAAGCAAATTAAGTATTTTAAAGGGAAAAATAATAAAAATACCCTAAACTTTGAAGGGGTGTGTGATGAACATCCCAAACTTGTATATGTAATTTAAATATCTCAAACTTTATATAAAAAGTTATTTTTGCACCATTGTCATGTATTATTTCTTTCAAAAATGTAAAGTATGGGGTTAATTGCATAAATTAAAATAGCAGATTAAAAGTGTTTAATTAACACCATAATTTACATTTTTGAAAAAAATAATACTTGACTACGGTGCTAAAATAACTTTTTATACAAAGTTTGGGGTATTTAAATTACCTATGCAAGTTTGAGGTGCTCATCTCACACCCCTTCAAAGTTTGGGGTGTTTTAATTATTTTTCCCTATTTAAATGAAAAACTTATCAAAAAAGGAAAATATGAAAACAATTAACATATATCCTAAAAAAAAGTATAGAAAACATCAAGATATTTCAAAATTATGCTAAGGCATAATACTCTCTCCGGCCCTTAAAACTTTACCAACTTTTTTATTTTTTGTCTCATTACCTTTGCCACTTTTCATTTTAATTAAAGAATTTGTGGTTGGTAATTTTCTTTTCTTTGTACAAAATCAACCACACATATAATTTTTACTTTATTATTCATTATGCCGGTCAAACATGGTCAAGTTTTATGATAGAGAAGGAGTATATGATGGAGGTTTGTAGCTTCTTTGGTAGTCTCTTTAATTTTCATATTCTCTTTCAGCAGCTAGCTTTTTTATAAAACACATAATTTTAAATTTCAACGATTAATTGTGTTATAATTAAAATGCATAATTTTAAAATTCAATGCTTAATTGTGAAATAATTAAAATAAGTAAGGTTCAAATCATTATTCTTGGTAAATTGACTAAATTCGCTGAAAACGACAATTTTAACTATTCTCATGTAACTTTTCTTTATAATATAAATAGAACATATTTAAATAGGCTAAAGGGTCAAATAGGTACATGAACTAACTTAAAGTGTTCAATTAGCCCCTCATATAGGAGGTTTTGCCCGGTCATCGCCAATTGGGGCGGTTCCCGGTGGAATTTTTTGATGAAATTTTTTGAGCATCTTCTTCATTAAGTCTAGTTTACCCATACCAAATTTCAGCTAAAAATTAAATTGGGAAGGCAGTCAAATTATTTTCCGAAATGTACTGTGTTGTTTAACTGCGGAGTTATCTTCAAAAAATCATTTGATTGCCTTCCCGATTTAATTTTTAGCTGAAACTTGGTATGGGTAAACTAGACTTAATGAAGAAGATGCTCAAAAAATTTCAATAATAATAATAAACCGTATTTTAATTGATAGTGGATCATAAAAAAATAATTCATCCACCTTTTGGATATTGGGTTAATAAAACATGCATCATCAGATGTTTTTCTAATTTTTTCCTTAATATCTTAAAATTAAAGCAATCACATTATGATAATAGAAAGTAAAATTCGGATATATTACTAGTTTTTACATTATTAGATTAATAAAAGAAACACATCTACCTTTTTTAAATAGTAATAATTATTTATGAACAGAAATCAATATATATATATAAAAGAGGAACTTTTTAAGAGCATACGGCGCACCACATAATTCTGCCATGTCATCATATATTACAATTATTTAATTACTATTTATAGATTTTATTGTTTTTATTACATTCTATTTTTATTGTATATTGATATGGAAACAAAAGATCGTATGATAGAATCCACCTTATTTGGTAACTTTTTCAGAATCTACTACTTACTCCGTATTAATATGGATATTTATTAAAATATATATAAAAGAGGAATTTTAAGAGCATCTGGCGTGCCACACAATCCTGCCATGTCATCATATATAACAATTATTTAATTACTATTTATACCTTTTTTATTACATTCTATTTTTTATTATATATTGATATGGAAACAAAAGACCGTCGCGTATGATAAAATCCACCTTATTTGATAACTTTTTCAGAATCTACTACTTACTCCGTAGTAATATGGATTGTTATTAAAATAATCAATTATTGCAACCACAACAATAAATAGTCATCCGTGCACATAGACTTTATTTTATTTAATTATTTTTATACTTTTATTTTTATTACATTCTATTGAGAAGTGAATTATCCGTGTTTTGCGCACCTAACAAATAAATCATCCAAGTTCCTATCAATTTTGTTCTTCAAATTTATTTTATAAATAAAGTAATAATAGCGTTCCATTTCCTAAAAAGTACGGAGTAATATTTTATTTTTCTAAACTCAATTTTTTGAATGTTTTCTAAACTCAATGTGATAATGACTAAAGTTATCAGACTTATATTTGCAATTGTGTTAATACTTCGTATTTTTCTGCATCATCATACCATTCTTTCTTAATTGTTGATATAATGATGAAAATTATAACCACAAGAGTTTTTAACTTAAAAATGAAATTGATATATACTATTAGATATTCATATATGAAAACATTTAAAACTTCTGATCAAGTATCTTACCTTTATGAGGATGGAAATGGAAATTCATATCATACATATATGAATACGTTTAGCCAGCAAAAAAAGTAAACATGTTTAGTTGTTTCTTTATTTTTACAACTACAATTTAGATTTTCCTTCACTTTTGACATAGATTCCTAATCTAAATTAGGAAATCTTCATACATTTAGGGTGTTTTTAATTGGACTGGTTTCAGTCTTAGACAAGATCGGATCAAATATCAATCATAATTATTATTATTATTATTATTATTATTATACATAAAATAGACATCTTCCAGACCAAGTTAGAAATGAACATGTCAATCTAATTAAAAATATCCTTATTAATGACATTTTCAATGTGACGAAATAAATGAGTAAATTGTAAAAATGATCCCTTTTTTACATTTCAATGTGACAAAATAATGAGTACAATGTAAGAGCTCACTAATAAATTTACAAATACTTATTTCATACCACATGTTGAATGAGAAATATTTAAAAATAGTTTTTTAGATGCTTAATGAAGTAATATAGAGGATGTGAAATTAATTAAGAAACTTTTGTATGAATTCTTTAAAATCGGGTTCATAACCATTATGTTTAGTTGAGATGCTTATGTAGAAGTCCAATTTAAATATTTTTCATATAAATTTGAATTACTTTTATTAATTATATATGATTTTGAAAATATCAAATATACAGTTAGCTAAATTATGTACTACCCGTGCATCGCACGGGCTTGAAAGCTAGTTAATCAAAATTATAATAAAACATAGAAAAAATCTAAAAGAGAATGAATTATGTTTTTTCGAATACGACTTGTTATAATTTTCTACAAGAAAAAGTTTAATAGAAATTAAAATAACTATGAGCCCATTTGATAGCACGAAAATCAGCTGATTTGGTTGATTCTGCTGAAATTTATGAAGTTCTGGCTGAAGTGGCTGCATTGGCTGATTCTGCTGATTTAAGAAAAAAATACTTTTAAAATATATTTTATAAATAAAATAAATAAAAAATTATATGTAAAAATAGCTAAAATGGTCATCTACAGACTCTACAGTAACTTAAGTCAATACAGCTAGAAAAGTAACTTCAACCATACTTTTTCTGCTTATTATACAATTCAGCGCGCGAAATCAAAAATTACGTGTTTGGTAAAAAATTGGCTGATAAGCCGAAAAACAGTGTTGCCAAACGGCGTCTATCTTTACTTCCTGCTTGAATTGATGTAAAGGGACTTATAGTCAGAAAATCAAAACTATTCCTTATCACATACTAGTGAATTATCTACGTATTATCAAAACGGAAACTTATTTAAAAACAAAAATGCTACGTATACACTGCTTCCAAATCCATTAATACGCCAAATATATTTTGTACAATGTATTTTTTCATTTTGATAAAGTGAATTATCTGTGCACAAACAGTTCAAATTCGCATACATTCTCCTTTACTAAAATGAAAATCTAATGTCTATAAACAAACAAAGTACATTTAACGTGTGAACGGGTGTCTAAGCCGGCATGTACAAGTAACATTTTTTACTTAAAACCTAGAAGTATTTTTTTTTGAATAAATTGCGGGCACTTCTACACAAGACATACTCCCTCCGTCCCAATTGAAACTGAAATAATTGCTGGGGTATCACTACCCGGCTTCTCCTTTCCAAAAACATAAAAAGGATTCCAATTTTCTAAAAATATGACTTGTTTCCATTCGCACAAGACCGGCCCAACCCAACAGATCAAACGTGTCTCTCTTCTCCACCATCGCACCCCTCCAGCAGCCATCGACGCAAGACACACGGTTATCTTCTTCGCTGCTTCTCACCTCCATCGTCGACCACGACTCCACCACCAACGCGACGCCATCAAAGCAGACGGAGACCAACAGTGCAATGCCATCGAAGAAGACAGAGCCCACCAGTACGACGGTGATGGAGATGGTCTGCATCGGCGACGAAAGCGCCATCTTCTCCTTCTTTGCTGCTTCTCTTCGCCATCTCTGCTCAAATCAGTTGTCGATTTCAGATCTGTGAGAGTTCCAGATGGTTGTTGGGGCAAGGATGCGCTGCTGGTCGGTGCTAGGGGCAGATCCGGTTGTGGAGGGGTTGCTAGGTGGTGCTGGGGGAGGATTGGGTCGGGGCATGTTGCTGGCCAGGGCTGGGGGCGGATTTGGTTGTGACACGTTGTTGGCCGCCGCTGGAGATGGATCTGGATGTGGCAGGTTGATGGGCGGCGCAGGGCGGCGTTGGCGAGGTGGCTGAAGGCTGGGAGGGGTCTGGGAAGGGCTGGGGGTTGGGGAGGTGGCTGGGGAGGTGGATGGGAGGGGCT